ATTAACTTACTTTTGAATAAGAATAAGAGAATCTATTCAAGCAAATTCCAAATTTTATTTTAGTTTTGCTTGCGTTTTTCAACTGAATGTTTCTTTTTCTGTTTAGTGTAAACCAGCAACCCTTTTTCTTTGACGTATGGTGCTTTCTGTACTTAAACACAATTCATTTGAAGATAGAACTCACTACCTTTTTCTAGGCAATTTCAAACTGTAAACATTACAAGAGGCGGACTTAAAACTCCACCACTCCGATTCCACTAGCTACTCGTTTATGCTCAAGAACTTTGTAATAAGTAAAGCAAGAAAAACTTGTATAGGTTTATTATAACATATGGGTTAGGTTAGGTTAGTGTATGAAAAACAACGCACGAGCCGAGCGAGCGTAGCGAGCGTGCCGCGGCAGCGGCCGGCGAAGTGCCAGAAACGAATCGCTTTTGTTGATGGTAACATTTGGTTTATAATGTTTAAAAGATGATCGTGACCATTTTCATTTCAATTTTGATTTCGATGGACTTGACAATTCGGGATCTTTATAGCGTGTATATATGGACCATTTGTGTAGGTATCTTTACCCACACTTTCACATAAGTAAGTATGAAGAAAATCCAATTTTTGACACGATATTTAATACTTAAAATATATTTTTCTATACTTTTAGATTATTGAGAAAACATGTTCTTTTGATATTCAAAATGAAAGTGTTCTACGTAGATATGATTTTGACATATGACATTTATTTATTTGGTGTATTATTATTTAAGGTAACACTGGGGGAAATATCTACTCGATCCTTTTTCATACTAAATATATACTTACTATTGAAAAGAATAAGAGACTATAATTTATTTAGAGTTTTGCTTGCGTTTTCGACTGAATATTTCTTTTTCTATTGCGTGTAAACTGGCAACCCTTTTTCTTTGATGTATAGTGCTTAAACACCTTTCATTTGAAGACTGAACTTACTAACATTTTGTTGGCGATTTCAAACTATAAAACAAACATAACAAAAAAAAATCGAAAAACTGAAATTCTGCAACGGAGGCGGACTTAAAACCCCACCGCCCCGATTCCACTAGCTACTAGCGGGAAGCGAAAGCTTCTATTCTGAAACGAAGGCGGACTTAAAACCCCATTGCGTCGTGAATTGATCTATTCTAATATCTGGCCACGACATCGGTACCCTTTTCATATAATAAATAAATCTTACATAAATAATGTAATGTAATAATGCAAATACAATAAATACTATTTCTTGACATTTAATTGATTAATTAATGATAGTAACACTGATGGAAATATATGTTCGATTGTTTTTTAATATTATACAGTAATTTAATTTAATAATAAATAAGAATAAGAGAATAAAACACAAAACTTATTTTAAGTATCTATACAAAATTTATTTTAAGTTTTGCTTGCGTTTTTCGACTGAATATGTTTTTCTATTAAGTGTGAACTGGCAACACTTTTTCTTTGATGTATGGTGCTTTTGTCCTTTAACACCTTTTATTTGAAGATAGAACTTACTGACCTTTTCTAGGCAATTTCAAACTATGAACCCGACAAAACACGAGGTGGACTTGAAACCCCACCGCCCCGATTCCACTAGCTACTCGTAACCTCCCCGGGCTGCTCGCAGCCCGGGGCAACCAAGCGAAAGCTAGTTCTACATATAAAGTTGTTTTTATTTGTAGCAAAGAGCCTGTTCACTAATAGTCAGCTTTCCACATTGAAAATTGCGCACAGTCCCATAAAAATTTTCCGACCCATTTTTAGCGTTCTTGGGGAAGATTTCTAAAAAAATATCAATATGAATATTTTTTGTTTGCAACAAAGAGTCCGTACACCAATTTTCAGCTGTTTACCTTGAAAATTGACGAAAGTCGTGTACTAACTATCACCCCACCTTTTGGGGGGGGGTCAAGTGAGTTGCGGGCAGATTTCCAAAAGGAAAGGATAAACGTATTTAGTACTTTCTACCTTAAACACTACGGAGAGTCCAATATAAAATTTCACCCCCTCTTTTATCCTTTAAAGATATAGGGGTAGATTTAAAAAAATATGCATAGCACATATTGTTCCTTAGCTACAAAGAGTCCACATATCAAGGTTTAACTTTCTGCATTGAAAATTGCGGAATGCTCCATACAAATTTCCACTATTTTATGCGGATGTGGAGGATGTCCTTTGACTATCTCCACATTAAAAAATCACACTGCTCCGTTGCTACGTTTTGGCTTGAAAGACGGACAAACAATCACACTTTCACATTTATAATATTAGTACGGAAGTATGGATTAAAGGCACCATCTCCTTCGCAGTTAGTTCGCATGAAAAAAAAACTCGAAAAATTAATTATGTCATCAGGGACAAAGATGATTTTTAGCATTTTTTATTAAGATAATTTTCCAGTATAGCATTGTGAATGCAGAATCAATCAAATCTAATGAATCTTCTTATGGTGGACAATTGATGATATTGCATAAACACATATCAAGGTTAATCAAATTCGCTACCATATACTATCGCCTTAACCTTTATTACCTTTATGTAGTTTAACTACCTTACCTTGTTACTTACAACTTTTTCGCTAGCGCGCAACTCGTATTCCAAAACAAGTACAAAACACGAATTACGCAATCCTATATATATTTAAATAACTGAATTTTCTTTCAAGTCTCACTCCCTTTTGAACTGAACATTACAATGATCATTATCTTAACCATTTTAATTATTACCTGTTCTAAAAACTATGCCTATGTGACTGTTGATAATAATACTGAATTGGAAACAACCACACCCCATATTTTCTATCAGATACATCAAAATAAAAGTAATGAAAATGAGTTGGAGGATAGAAATGTGAAAAACAGTGATTATAATTTTATGAAAGATTTAGTGTTCGAATTGACATCTCAAAATTGGACTAGTTAGGAGCTGCCGTGTTTGAATGAGTCCATAAATTTCATCAAGAACTTGCAAAATTTTACTACGTGGGCAGTATGGCGTGAGTATTAATGTGTCAAATACCTCTCTCTATAATATAGTGTTTTCTTTATTTGAATATCCCCCTTTTATTTTTGATAGATTTGTAAGTTCGGATTCACGACAATTTTGCATGCGAAAAAATATTAAAATTTATATGGAGAAATATAAAACACTCATATTTTATTTAAGTTAAAAGTGTAAAAAATACATTTCATTAATAAGAAGTACTCTTTTTGTTGCAATATCAAATAATCGTAGAGATCCTTTGAAAATACTTTATAATGTCCAAATTTTATGGTCATATTCAGCTTTATTATTATTCTTCTTTATCAGCATTTTGTCCAGTATTGGACATATGCCTCCCCCAACTCCCTCCAGCGTGATCTGCAGGTTGTCTCACGTATCCATGATTTGCCGGCTGTTTGAACAATATCATCGGACCATCTTGCCTTTGGTCTTCCTGGTTTTCTGCCGATTGTTCGTGGTCGCCATATGGTCATCTTTTGGCTCCAACGTCTGTCTGATCATCTCATTATATGGCCAGCCCATTGCCACTTTAATTTAGCCACTCGCTTCCCTATACCCACAACACCAGTCCGTTTACGTATCTCGGTATTTCTGATACGATCACGAAGAAATATCCGAAGCATAGATCTTTCCATGGCTCTTTGAGTTACTTTAAGTCTCTTCATTATGCCATCTATTAGTGTCCACGTCTCACAACCATATTTTAATTTCGGGAAGATGCATTGGTCGAAAGCACGCCTTTTTAGATGTATCGGCATGTTGGATCTAAATATTTCCGGCATTAGTCCAAAGCTCGCCCATCCCAAACTTATTCTGCGCTTTATGTCATCGCTCAAGTCGTTTTCCATGTTAATTACTTGTCCTAGATATACATATTTAGTGACTTCTGCGAGGTAAATGCCATCGATTTGAATACTTGGTGTTATTGATCTATTGGCCATTTGTTTTTGATAGGTTCATGTTCAAACCGTCTCTTCGACATGCATTAGCTAACGATAACAACATAAGCTGAATCGCATCCCCGCTTTCAGCAAAGATGACAATATCGTCCGCGAAACATAGATGGGTGAGATGTTCGCCGTCAATTCTTACGCCAAATTTACTCCATTCCAGTGTCTTAAAGGTGTCCTCTAATAAGTTTGTAAACAGCTTTGGTGATATGGTGTCGCCCTGTCTGATACCTCTCTCCAACCTTATAGGCTCTGTTCTTCCTCCTGCTACTTCAACTAACACAGTTGCGTGCTTATATACGTTTTTAATAAGATCGATATAGAGACAGTTAATATGGCATCTTATAAGAGATTGCAATAGTGCCCAAATCTCGACCGTATCAAAAGCCTTCTCAAAGTCTATAAATGCCATAAAAAGAGGTAGTTGATATTCTCTTGACTTCTGAACTAGCTGTCCAACTGTATGTATATTATCTAAGGTACTAAATCCACTACGGAATCTAGCTTGTTCCACTGGCTGAAACGCATCCAGGCGATTTTTAAGTCTGTTTGTCATAACTTTCAGAAACAATTTGTAGCTGTGCCTTAATATTTAATTATTATTATACACTATTTTATGTATCATTATTTCGACAGCTGGACTACCATTAATTCCTTTAAAAGTTTTATGTTGGACCTTATCTATACTTTAGAAATCCCAAAATAAATATTAATTAATATTTATTCATATTAACAATTAATGTAACAATTAACAATCTAACTAGCCTAACAATTAATCTCCAACATTTTCTCTGGTTGACTGGTAGGAATAGAATCAATCGCGGAATCAAGACCGCCTTTTGTGTTTCGGAATGCAATAAAGAATAAACAAATATAATTATCTTATTAGTTTTTTACAAATCCATACTTCACTCCAGGTCCGGTACGAAAATATTAGTAAACAACTATTTTTTAACAGAATGGGACTCCGAATCTTTCCAACCGATGGGTATATTATCTGGCAACAGATATCAATTGGGAAATTTTGATCAATGCATGACTTATCCATGGAGCACTTCTTATAAAAGAATAGAAGCTCAGTACTGCCTTGCAGACGTAGCGCTGGAGACCAAGAAACACGTTAACAAGAAAACTTTGGATGAGATAGATCCTTATGGGAACGCTTTGGAATTGATACAGGTTTTGTTTATTTTACTAGCTTTTGAACGAATCAATGGTTTAGACATAAAAGCAATAAAACTCGAGACCTTACACATTGAGACGCTTTCAAACCAACGTCCGAACTGCTTGATCATGAAGGTCGTCGCCACGTTTTAAACCAACATTTTCAATGCCAAGCTTAAAACGAAATTTATTCGGAATCTATCATTCGATGAAGTGATGTTTGTTAATATTATTTTATTGAATTCTATAAAACTTTTTTCAGCATGAAACAACACATTTTCGAACTCTGAAATATCTAACCTGGGGCATATGTGTGCCTGCTCGTTGTGAACTGAGATCTGTGGAAAGATTATTGGGAACAGTATTGACGCGCAGCTACCTTGGCACAAATGGACTGCGTCCACGTATTCAAGTTCAGGAGACTTGCCAGAGACCTGATGACTCAAAGCAATTCGATGTCTTATTTTACTCATTCGTGTAAGTACAAAAATTTCTTGATGTCTAGTATTTCTACGGATTCGAAATATTTCAGTAATGATGATAGAAGAAATCTGAAATATAAATTTCGAAACTTATACCTGTACCAAGAAAAGCGAAACTGAGAGAAGAAAAAGTAGGGTTCCTGCTGTAACTATATTTGCGTTAAAATAAATATTTTTTGCCTTGAAATAAACCCTTTCTTCGCAGATAAACTCTTTGTTTTGTGCGTAGAACGCAATACGGAGTTGTCTAATATTGAAAATTATTTGTATTTTGACCATCGTGTATTTTGCTATGATTTTTGCATTGACAATATACCTCATAATAAAAAAGGGTTTTGGTTATTTATGTCGTGTCATTCTGACTGATAGACGAATATTACGGGATATATATTATATAGGGGTATACTAAGTATGGATTTTTAGGGATTATACCCCGAAGAAGGTCAAGAAGGGTGAAACGACTGTATGAAAGTTTTTGTTTTTGAAGTTATAGCGATGAAAATTCGTTTATAATATACGAGGGTCAAACTGAAAGTTCTTAGAAAATCAAAAACTGATTACATTAGCCAGTTATTAGTTTTATTATATCTTTTCAAAATATTGTCCATTCACGTCAATACACCGCTGCATGCGATGGAACCACTGGGAAAAGCACTTTGCCCACTCGTCCTTAGGGGTCTCTTCAATGGCATCGCGATACGCAGCCACCGCTTCTTCAGCATTCATAAACCGCTTTCCTTTAAGTTTTTCTTTAATTTTTGGAAATAAATAAAAATCACAAGGCGCGAGGTCGGGGCTATACGGCGGGTGACCCAGTAATTCAACGTTTGATGTCGCCAAATAGTCGATCGTTCGCTTGGCGGTGTGCGACGAGGCGTTGTCGTGGTGAAGGAGGATCCTACTGCGAGGTCGTTTCTCTCGAACTTTTTCCAAGACAAGTGGCAAACAATTGGTAGTGTACCATTCTGCAGAAACTGTTTTTTGATCCTCTAACACAATTGTTGCAAAATGACCTATCCTTCCAAAGAACGAGGCCACCATTTTTTTTCCCGCACTTCGATCTCTCTTCACTTTAGTTGGCAACTCCTCGAAAGGAAACACCCACTGAGCAGATTGTCTTTTGGTTTTAGGATCATAACAGTAAATCCAGCTTTCGTCACCTGTTAGTATGTCGAACACAGCATTTGAGTCACCTCCGTTAAATCTTTCAATCATTTTACGACACTACGATATTTTACGACGGCTAAATGTTCGTGGAGGATTTTGTGCACTTGACTCATACCGATGCCTAAGCTTGTCCGAATCTGTTGATAGGTCACTCTTTTGTCAGTCTCTATCATACGCCGCACAACACAGATGTTATCTTCAGTCGTCGCCGTAGAAGGCCGTCCCTCACGTAAATCATCAGTGAGATTAGTGCGACCACGTTTAAACTCATTAAACCAGTTGTAAACAGTCGCACGAGATGGGGCTTCATCGTGAAAGGCCAATCGTAGTCTATCATAACTTTCTTGTTGACTTAAATGACATCGAAAGTCATAAAAAATCATTGCACGAAAATTTTCTCGTGTTAAATTCATGATGACGTGACACAGACAATTTTCAATTTGCCGCCAAATCGTAAAACAAATGACAAATGAATGAAATATATACTCAGTAATATTGGCAAAGAGTTATATTTTCAAATTTTAGAATTATTTTTTTATTATATTGTTTATAAGTGGCCAGTTCTAAGAACTTTCAGTTTGACCCTCGTAGTTTAAGATCCTATGAACTGAAAACTGTTTACCTTATCCAACAACATATAGTTTTATTAAATATACGGCAACTGGAAAAAGGCACATTAAATAATTTGTTAATAATAAACCTAATATAGTACATGTTTAAAAGTTTAACTTTGCCAAAATATGTTAAGCTATGTTCAAAATTTAAATTTGGAAATGTTAATGACACCATACTATACCTATCTACATTTTCTTTGACGACACGCCATTGTCTTAGAAGGTGAAACCGGATCACTACCTAAAAAAAACATTGAATATAAATAGCTATAGCCAAATGCCTACAAAACTGTTGTTTTTCTTCTATTTTACTGCAACCTAGCCTTCAGGGCGAGTCTACATAGTAAAAAAACTTTAGGAGTCGTCCGTTAAACACAAAACTAATAAAAAAATGTTTTCTATAGAGCGAAAAATACTTTCTTCTTCTAACTTCGCTTTGGTTAACTATAATCGCGATATGTCATCCTTCTTTTTAATTATATTTTTATTCGATTACAGTGTGATGTTTGCAACACTATTTGTAATATCTATAGTGTGCACAATTAAAAACAACAAACGAAAAAAAGAAGGTGCTCATATTGGTATGTATAATCTATATGCTACATGAGACAAGCATAATTGTTCTTAAATTATATTGAATTCAGATTAATCGAAATGCACTCAACTTTCAATACAGTATTGAATATTGAGTGCATTCTTATTTAATCCGATGTCAAGGAAATCGATCTTAATTTTGTTTATGTAGCAATAAAGGACACCACCGTCTCGCCAGTCACGGGTCGATAGGTCTGAGAGCGGTTGTTTGCTATTTGCTATTTAATTAGTTTAGTAAAACTCATAAGTTTCAAAATTAAAAAAACCAGATGGAATCCTGATGCTGACCACGATTCTTTATCATGAGATACCGACTGAGAGAGAGATATTTATAGTCTTATATGATCTTAGTGAACATGAAATTCAAACTCATCCCAATTATTGAGCACATCTAAGAAAAAGTATGGAGCTATTACACTACCCAATCGTCAGGGTGTGAGAGAGACCCCCCTTGTTATGTGTGACAGGAGGGGGTGTCACATGTTTGTATAGACAAACATGTGGGGGGGGGGTTAAAAATCATGAATTACTCCCGTATACTTAACTTTCTCTCCATCCAAAGGTTGTCTGGAAGAGATCACTATATAGTGATAAGGCCCCCGATTGTGACACTTAAGTATATTTCTTTATGTATTGTTTTCTCTGTATTTTATTGTATACAATAAAGTGTTATCTATCTATCTACCTTATCGTCAGGGTAATACTATTATATGCTAAAATAACCAAAACCGAATAATCATTAGCACCACCACAGCAAAATACAATTAACTAAATAAAAATAAAAAATAGCGTATACTAGGCTAGACGTATTAAATTGCTTCTTTCCCAATCCTTACCTATATCAATCACAAACAGACCCAAACAAGCAACAAAAATTATCATAAGCGTACCAAACGATATTAATAAAAAATGTCGTCAGTGTAAGGGAGTCTAGAAATTGGGTAGTGTAATATGGGCTTTATATGGCGACTTGACTTGATTATTGTACAAAAATATGTGTGTAACATGACCCTATTTGGATTTGTTTACAGAAAAAACAATTAGCGAAGCGTTTTGCCTTAAAAACAATTTAAGCGCTCTCCTGAAAATTAGAAAGGAAGGCATTGAATCTATATACGGCATTAGATATCTTTCAGTTTGTGGCATCGTGATATGTCATCAAGGCGCATTTATTGATGGAGGGCCCATTAGTAACGGAATAGAAATGGATGTGAGTAAGAAATCAAATTTCACTTATAAGATCAACGTACATAGTAAAATGTAGCATTTCGTAGATGAAATAATTTCATGATTGGGTCAGTATTAACGAAGAGTACCCTTGTTATATTAGTATACTCATAGATGTGATTTGTCAGATCTTTAAAGTTCTTTGCTTTAGGCTTTTCAATGGTATGATAGCAATTTGTATATAAAAAAAGGTTCATTAGAGCAAAACAAATTATTTTTTCTTGGAAATTGTAGTTTCATGTGTAAATATAATATATCGCCCAATGTCGATATAACAAATGCATTCGATATATAATGTTTATTCATCATCACACACCATCAGACTATAATGTCCCCACTGCTGGGACTTAAGCCTACCCTATGGATGGTATCCAATCATATCGAATAAGAAGAACGTGCCATGAATCACCACACAGGTCAAGTGTGGATTGGTGTATGTTATCGACTGCAGATGCAGTTAGAACCACCGGTTAAACGTACCTTCTTCAACGCGGAGGACCTATTACGGGCCCATATGAACATTGCTTATGCATTTGGGTTATTCATTTGGATACAATTGTCTATTTTAGGAAAGTAAGAAAATAGTTGGTTGGTTCGCTCTGCATGCCGACCTTTTAGTGGATACATTTTTCCTGATATCAGCTTTCTTGACAGCTAAAGCGCTTCATCAATTTAAAACTTTACCTCCTATCTCTGTGATGATAGTCAGAAGATACGTACGGTAAGTGTTATTTATTTAAAAATTTGCTACCACTTATTAAGGTTCGTTTCCATTGGCTGATAAGTTTTCCGACATACCGTATGCGCTTTCCAATGAGGACTAATGAATTAAGATTCTGTTTACCTCCGCTTGCGCTCCCTCACAACTTATAATTACGCATCAATGGTCACGCGCTCATTTCATACGTTTTTAATGAAAGAAAAAAAAACAAATGCAGTCATAAAAAATTGTTTTGATAATTTTAGATTATATCAATACTCAATTTAGTACATATTTTTTATAGTTATATATTAGTCGTAAAATCAATCAATCAAATAGCAATTTAGATTCATCTTTGCGGCTTTTTTCTTTCGAGTCAATTATTGAAATTTATATTTGTTTTTTTTTTTGCAAACAATCGAATAATCGTCCAGATGTTTAATTTTCATAAAATGATTTTTAATTGATAAATATTAGCAGAGCCTTTGAACCTCTTTACCGACTACAATATCTAGAATAACCGACCAAAAAAGTTCCCAGTGATATATATGATTTACCATTAACTACATAAATCATTTTTTATAAAAATCTTATTTAAAAATGTCTGCAAAATAAAGGATAATAGAATATGTTCACTAGTGTTCATATTGTACTTTTCCATGCTCTTACCTGAATACTGGCGCTATTAAATTTGTTACAGAAATATCTCGCAGGGCCCTATTGAATAATGAGATCTTTAGACATGATCAAAATAAGTTTCTATTGACTCATTAAATTCATGATAAATATTATAGAAATAAATAGCTATTATTTTCGTGACCGATTGACACACGCCGGCTTCAAAGAGTTGCTATCTCTCGGGTTCCGGATTCGATTCCCGATCGGATCATTATAAAGAATGAACTTTTCTATATTGTCTTAGTTCTGAGTGTTGTCTCAACTCGTTGTCTGTTGAGTGTTGTTCCAGCTCCTTATTTTGTGATCTAAGCAACACACTCATGTGTGATGTTGTTCAATATTTATCTATTTGTTTTATATGTATCTATATTGTGTTCTCGTTTTGAGCTTTTGATTTGTATGTGAATTTGCAGAAGAATCAAGAATAATCAACTAACCAACATTTTAACAGCATTTTATAATACGTAATAAGAAAATTTGCTTTATAATTTTCTCTTACAGTGTTTCTTAAAAAATATATAAGTACATATTTAAACCATGTGTTTTAGTTTTAATAAATGTATATTTTCCATTTAATAAATAAAAACAATATGTTTCTAGATTAGTGGTTGGTTTCGCTGTAGTGATTTTCTTCACAGCCGTGATGTTTGATCACTTCGGCTCTGGACCTCTTTGGAAGCGATATAGCGGTAACGAAGTGGGACCCTGCCGTGACAACTGGTGGCTCGGTTTACTGATGCTGGGCAACTATATAGACTCCTATAAAATGGTAATATTAATCATTATTCAATGTTATTATTAGGTACTAAATAATAAAAACTAAGGTTTAGAATTTTATATCTCATAAAGGTGAACATCCACTGTGTCCGCACGCATGCAAGGGACGCACGTTACGCAACGGATTTTTCATAGCTTCCCCATCCTATATATCCATACCACGGGCAAAAAGAATGTCACTTACCAATCACGTCACATGGATTACTTCCGTAGAACATTACAAAATTTAAATAATCTTAGGTCCCACAAAACTATATTAACAGTTTGACTGTGGTTGGGCTATGAGTCTCGTTTTGAGTTACATGTAATGCTACTTGATTAGTATAATTTATTCATTTACATACATGTTAAGTACAACATGTGTTACAGGCTATTCATTAAATAGTTCTTTAGTAGGTTGGAAAATATTTTTAGGTTACTTTCATGCCTAATATTGTCAGGTAAGCTATTTAATATATATGGGACTCTTTTGTTTAGAGTTCTATCACCATAATAATTGTTAACTCTGGGAACTACATATTTACCTACTGCAATTGCTCTAGTATTATGTTTATGCGAGATCAATGGGTGACGCTCCCGACTACTATGGTTATTTATGGCAAGTATATATTTAAGTTTTAAACTAACTGGGAGAATTTTACAAATTTGAAATAACTTTTTATAATCTCCCTTACAGCTATTCTTAGTTTTTTTATTAACGAGTAGTTTCAAAAAGCGCAATTGTAATGATTCTAGTTTCTGTATATTAGTATAAAATGTAAGACCATATGTGTCGATTGCGTACCCCAATATGGAATCGACTAGAGACATATATAAACATTTTAATGTATTTGAGGGAACTTTATAACTTAAATAGTAAAATTTGGATAACAATATTCTAAGTTTAGAACAAATATGGCTTACATGATTTGACCACGAAAAATGCTCATCCACCACCAATCCAAGATAAGTAATAACTTTAACCCTTTCTATTGGCTTACAATAACAAGCGACTAGACCATTATGACAACAATCATAACTATGAGCGACAATTGAGCGAGACATATCAGGTAATTCTATATAAGGAGAGTGTATTACTAGTAGTTTCGTTTTGTCAGCATTAAGCACAATCCCATTGTCATGAGACCACTTGACTATTTCGTCTACGTCATTTTGGACTAGGCGGTAGGTTTCTGTGAGGTCAGTGCCCGCGCGCAACACGCATAGGTCATCTGCGTACATATATGCGGAGGTGTGGCGAAGTACACCGCTCAGGCTATTTACATGCATTAAAAAGCAGATAGGACCGCACCCGGACCCTTGTGTCACACCACATTGCACTTCTTTTTTGTCACTATATACCTCGCCCAGCCTGACACGGAAAGAGCGCGAAGTGAGGTAGTCACGGAACCAATTATTCAATGGCCAACCCACTCCACACTCCTCCATTGCATTCAACAATGGCTCTGTTTCAAGGGTATCGAACGCTTTTTTATAGTCAAAAAAGACACTGACCACTATTTTTTTCTCATTAAGATAATTGTTAATTTCGTCATTAAACTTAGACAACAATGTGCTTGTACTCCTACCTTTTTGAAACCCGTGTTGACATTTATTAATAATGTTATTGTTTCTGATATATTCGCTCAACTGTTCCACTATACATTTTTCTATGACTTTGTCCAAGCTTGAGAGTATTGCAATCGGTCTGTAGTTTGAGCATTCCCTACGGTCACTTCTTTTTTTATAGATAGGGCGGATAACCGCTTCTTTTAACCTATCTGGAAAATGAGATTTCATTACACTTAAGTTTATTAGCTTAGCGACTATAGGGCTTATTTTATCCACTAAAAACTTTAAATCACACATACGTATTAGATCACTACCCGGCGCTTTGTTAACATTCATTTTCATAATAATTCGTTTAACATAGTCACAGCTTACAGGTTCCCATTTTATATTAATATTACTACGTTGTATATATGTATTCCTATCCAAAAATTTCTTATCACATGAATGTCTTATTCTGTCAATATCCTTCAAAAATACATTTGCAAACCTATTACAAATTTGTAGTTCATTACCTTGTCCCTTCATACTATGAATAATTAAATTGTCCAATGATTGCTTCTCATTCCCTAGTAACAAGTGAATTCTTTCCCATAACTTTTTTATATTATTGTTACAATTTAATATACATTGTTTATCATAGTTGATTCGACTTTTATATATAATTTTTATACATTTATTTCTTAGTTTTGTATACGCTAATCGTTTTATCATATTCAACGGATCTTTACTCCAAATCAAAAATAGCTTATCCCTTTCCGATATTAATTTTTTATGGTTATCATTAATCCAACACTTATTATTTCTCTTTTTAGTACTAATCAATACAATATCTTTATAACAACTATCGTAAGCATCTGTAAATAATTGAGTAAATGAATTATAAAGCAGCAATGGGCACTCAATACGTAATAAATCGTTGAAATTAGTCTGTAATAATTTTTCACGTACGGCGCGGTTATCGAGCACTCGACGTGCGACTCCCGCTGGCGGAGAGGGGTGAGAGGGGTCATCAGCGCCGAGCATGGAATGCTCAGGAGTGTAAGAACGCTTCCACTGCACTGCTACCACAACGGGGTAGTGGTCAGAAATTTTTGTTTGGACTACCGCGGCATTAATTATAGCCATGGGGGCGCGTACATAGATATGGTCTATACAAGACTCGACTAGCTTGTCGTTTAAAATTTCTCGTCTTGTAACTTTATTTATGCACCTAATCAATCCATACTCGGCTAAGAGATTCTCATATGTGACAATGTAATTGTCTTCAGCGTTCAATAAATTTAGGTTAATATCTCCACAAAATATGATCTTAGTATGTAAAGGCAAACTATCTAACAAGTTACGAAATTCCTCGAGAAACTGGATTATTTTGTTTTGGTTATTTATGCGCGGCGGTCTATAGACACTAATGATTTGTATTGGTTCGTTATTGTAAACAATTGATGTGGAAACGCACTCTGACGCTCGCATTGCGGATACCGCTGCCGATTCATGAAGCCGTGCTTCGAGATTCTCACGCGTGTAGACGAGCACTCCCCCCCCACTCCGCCCGATACGACACAAATTATGTATGGTATAACCATCAATCTTATAAAAATGCAACAAAGAGAAATTTATGTTTGCTTCTGTTAACACCAATATATCTATTTGTGATAAATTACTACTTAACATAACTAGGAGCTCATTAAAATTCTTTTTTAAAGACCTTATATTTAAATGAAATAAACACATGTTTTGTTTTGAAGGCCAGATACGTAACAGGTCATGCATCTGCCAATGTCAAAACAAAGTCTTTGATTAAAAATCTGTAATGTATTTGCCGTATGTTATCAACGAATCCATACATTCCGTTGCGTACGGTGCGTCCGTTGCGTGCCAACGGACACAGTAGATGTTCAACTTTAGAGGGCGAACAGCCAGTTGCATAAAGCGTCATTAGTTTAAAGTGACATTACCCATACAAATCTGACAATCATTAGAGCTTAAAGACGCCATTAAACCTTAATGGACGTTTGTGCAATAGTTTTCTAACAATAGCAATGTCCAGCCGCCGACCAGCAGATCGGTAAGCGTAATAATACCGAGTCAATGGCTCTTCGATATCGAGTTCTTTTTGACCCAGTTCTCTGTACACTCACAAAATAACAAATAATCTGTGGTTATTGCTTTTAAAGAAGACATTAAATTAATTAAATAATGTCTTAGATAGATAATGCAATTAATTGACTGATTAATTCATTCCCGTTTTATAATATTATATATGGGGTTAAGATATCTAAAAGGGTTAAAACCCTTCAAAATAGAATAATAAGAAGATATATATAGATTTACAAAAGATCATATTTTGTATTTTTTTTATTTATTATTCAGATGGAAAGTGGCCTTATAAAGTTAGTTGTCTGTTAAACATATATAATTAATTCATATTGCTAATATGGATTTGGTTGTAACATGGTGTTCGTAAATGTTGTTACTTCTGTTAGAACTGGCGAATTTCTTTCGCTCGTTCTTATCAGGCATAAGACTGAATGAGTGTTATCTACCTGAAAAAATATTTTTATACATTTCAGTGTTTGATGGTAACTTGGTACATTCCATGTGATTTTCACTTTTATGTTATCGCTGTGATTGTGTTCGTGCTTTATAAACGATGCCGGAGATTGGGTAAAGTCATTTTCTATGCTCTGACTGCTGCCTCTCTTATTATACCAGGAGTTATCAACTATGTTAATGGATTTCACCCCATACAACTCTTCACATATGAGTAAGTAAATACAGGATGGAACAAGTTCTATACCGTAAGAATAAGGGTAAACAACAAGAAATTCAAATTAGTCAGTCAGTCTGATAATAGAAAAATATTCGATACGGATTTATTTTGCTAATAACTTAGATCCCATTCCTCAACTTTTATAGGCATTAAAGTTGAGGAGTGGGAGCTCACAATGTCACAACTATTAGAAAATGTACAAAGATGTGATATCATGTGACATTTCAACTCAATGTTTCACTGTAATTTGCCGTTCATTGATCACGTGATATTTTTTTCAGCATTTTTTTAAACCCCCTCCCCCTTGAAATACATGGTGAGGTTTAAAACTAACGACCCCTCCCCCTCCACTCAACTAACGTGTATATTAAGTACCTACAAAGAATGCTAATATTTCGACGCCGCTTTTCGATTTAGTAATCGCGCGTTTGAGGAAAACATAAATACACGTGATATATTACTACTTCCCCCCTCCCCCTTATGATATTTCGTGATTTTTGACGAATCCCTTCCCCCCTTTCGAGCCTCACGCATCCCTTTTGAGAAAAGGTATGGGCAATTTGATATAATACGCCAGGCTTATGTTTTACACAGTTAAGATTGTATGATGAAGATGTAAATTATGTAAATAATAGTCGATTACTGTAAAATTTTATTGAAATCGGATCAATAATAGTTAGGGTGCCTAACATTTAATTAATGACCAACAGAAAACCACCAACCGATTTCAATAGCATTTTATTCCTGTATTCGACTTTTTTTTAAGAAGTGGAAATTAAGTAGTTTTTTTAAAGATTTTTTTTACTGTCTTTTTCTTTGAATGCGTGATATGATGTAAGATGTAATAGTGAATATTGCAAGAAGTGTATTTCTACATTACCTAATCAGAAACTTCATTTGATAGATTCCTGTGGAATACTCATAGCCATAAACAGTTTTACATATTCTACATAAAAAGTCACAACAGGGCGGCGGCTTACATAGTTGGATTTATTGCAGGGTGTCTGTTCAATAAATATAGATCAATGGAAAATTTCAAGCTTACACAGGTAATATTTTTAATATAAACGTGAAAGTAAAAATTTAATTATAAAAAAAAGAACCCGACTGATTCAAATTATACGGAGCTCCGTTGATTGGTCAAAAAGGAATGGGTCCTGACTGTTGATCCTTCTATTCTGCTTTTGAATTTATTATATGTTTTGTGTGTGTTTTAAAACTATTTCAATGGAGCAGTTATTAAGTACTCGTAGTATTCAAGAACATTCCAAACTACTGGGCTTGTTTTTTTTCTTTTTAGTTTTTAGTGAAAGTAATTATATATTGTTTCACTACTTTATTTTGTTTTTACGCAGTCAAGTTTTTTGTTTTTTAAAATAAAGTTTTATTTTTATACTCTTTAGATAGTTCTCATTGACTTCGTTATGAGAAATATAAGACGGTAAATTTCGCAAACTTGTCATTTCATTGAGGGAGTTTATAGTGTAAGGATTATTAAGCAACTTGCAGTGGTCTAAACTACTGATTATTAGTCCGTCTAGAGACCTAATTCGTCTCAAATTCGGCATCAAAAATTCGCGAACTTAAGTCAACCACAGCTCGGTCCAAAGTAGTTCTTAGCACTTAAAATCTTAATAATTTCGAAACAGCTCACTATATCAAAAAACGGTCTTCGTACACTTGTAATATTTTTGAAAGACCTATCCAACAATATTTCACACTATAGGGAAATCGAAAAAATAAAAAATCATCCTCGCTTTACATGTAAGGTAGTGTTGCCCAAATGCAAGAACAAGACGAGACTTGGCCAGTCTTGGTCTTGGTCTTGCGCCAATACACCCGGTCTTGGTCTTGGTCTTGGTCTTGCGCTCCCAGTCTTGGTCTTGGTCTTGGTCTTGCAGCAAGAGTCTTGCAAGTCTTGCAATTAGCTAATAGACTATTGCTATTTATTAAAGTTTACTTTAGATCTTAGGAATTAACATAGCCGTAGTAAAGAACAATCAGGTGAATAAATGTCTGAAGATTTGATAAAAAATTCGATTACTGCCAAATGGTTATCAACTGAGCTATACGCCGTTTTCCATGGGAGTATTGACTCTTTTGACCAAGAATTAATACAAAGTAACCATATGGCTGACTCATCACTTAACCTATTTCTATGTTTTCTAATTACTAATGATGCTTTAGAAAATAATCTCTCAGCAGGTACTGAAGTTGCAGGTATTAAGAGAAAATCACGGGTCATCTTCGATAAAGTCGGATACTCTGTCTCCATGCATCGTCCATCAATCTAAAATGTCTTCCGAGCTGGCAGCTCTTCGTTTTCTCAGGTACTCCTCCAACTCGTCTATCACTAAGCCTTGAAGACAAGATCCAGATGACGTCGAGGGACATCCATACAGTTTATCAAAGTCTATTACGTCTTCATCTTTATCACATACCTTATTTTCTTTTCTTGGTAATTCCAGAGATTTATTCAGTGAGTGTAGACTGTAGTATTCTTCATAAAGTTCATTGAACTTGCGCAGGCTTTCTGTTTTAAGATGCTTCCCCCATATTGTCAGGTCAAAAGTCTGGGCCTTATGCCTTGGGTCTAAAATTAAAGAAGTCCAATAAATCCAGTTGCTCTTCTTATAATGTTTAAGCATTTTGTCTCGAGCTGCTTGGAAAGCCAGAATGAGCCTTTCATCCACTTCAGATCGATTAGGTTTCTCATCTAACTGTTTTAACATGGATTTAATTTTATCGAGCAAGAGATTGAATGATACAATGACTAGCGGTAATGTAACATATTTATCTCCACCAAGTTTTGTATATTAAAAGTTTAAAGTTTATTAGAAACTTTTGAATTTTTTCGAGTACTTGCCATTCACTAGCTGTGATTTGAAAATCATTCAATTCGGTGACAGAACTGCACAATATGTTAATGCCCGCTCTCACTTTTAAACCAAATCCAATCATATCATGTGTGGAATTCCATCTCGTTGGACAGTCAAGAATGGGATTCAGATTTGATGGCACGCCAGCTGCTTCACAAGCAGACTGAAACTTCTTCTTCACTATTTCACTTCTTTTTATTTTGCTGGAAATACTGCGTAACTTTGTTACAGATGTACGCTAGTTAGCAATATTTGGTGCATATTCTTCATCTTCCTCAGTTTCGTCTGCATAGTCTTCATACTGCTGATCTTGCGCGTTAGTGTCAGTCTCACAGTGTAATGCTAAGGTCTTTAATAAATCTTGTACACCAAGGTTTAAAATGTGAGCAAAGCACCTGAAATGTTGATTGTCTGAATCAAAGTGTGGTGGCAGCTGTTTGCCTAGTTCATACATAAATTTAGTATTTGCAGTTGCGTTGTCGACCGTGATACCTTGTATTTTATCAATTATGTCATATTCCAATATACATTCGTAGAAAATCGTTGCAATATCTTGCCCAGTATGTCGACCGCGTGATGGTATAAAATCAAGAACTACAGATCGATACTTCCATTAATTGTCTACATAATGCATAGTAACCCCGTAGTAACTCCTACCAGCAATTGACGTCCATCCATCAATGGTAAACGACATTTTAGATGATAATTGTTGAAGTCGTTCCTTGAGATTCAATTGGAGCTCTTCAAATCGCTCTTTGACTTTCCTTCTAAGTGTGGACCTTGTCACTACTGTTTTCCGACTTAAATAAAACAATAAATCTTGTGTTATTATTTAAAACATACTAGGTTTGAGCGTTTAGGAGGAGGAGATTTGTTGTTGTTAAATCTAAAGTTGTACTGTAATTTACCAAAATAAAGTACTTAGTTGTTACAGTCCGATTATGAAAACAAATGAAAATATGGGTGCTTTATATAAAATATTTAACACGATAATTACATACTTAATATGTGTTATGTAATTGTGAGATAAGAACATTTATTCTTACCTGTCCACTTCTTCCAGCAGTTACGAAAAAGCTTGCGATATCTCCGCTTCATTTTGGTTTAACAGGAAGAAATATTTGTGATTCCTTTTTGTGGAAAGATATTAGATGTTTCCTTAAGCCTGAAGTGTTATTATACACCGAACTGTTATTCCTAACTACTCCGTGAAATAGCGCTAAGTCCTAGCTGCAAGACGCGAGAGTCTTGCGGGATTAGTCTTGTTCTTGCTCAAGTCTTGCATGGTCAGTCTTGGTCTTGGTCTTGCTAAAAATACGCGGTCTTGTTCTTGGTCTTGGTCTTGCGTTTTTGCAAGACCAAGACCAAGAACAAGACCGCGTATTTTTAGCAAGACCAAGACCAAGACTGAATTTGGGCAACACTAATGTAGGGGGATACCTTAAAAAAAGAATTTTGATTACTATTATGTATTTAGTGACACTCGCAAGGTTAAGACGCAGCGATTGACGTATAAATCATCAAAAAACGCCAAGCCATTTGGTCTCCACAATGCCATAAAAGAACAAACATATATACATAGACTCATAATCACATTACCCTCCTTTGCGTTGCCCAATCGGGTAAAATTATTACTGTCATATTCATTGAGTAAAAGAAAGCTTGTGATTAAGATATAATCTTGTTAATATTCCCTGAAAATTATTTAATATTTATTATTCTGTAACGAGACAGATTTTTTTATTTTAAATGTAACGATGGTATCATAACGGTCGTAGGATGGGTGACCAAAATTTTACTATATCCAGCTCCACGGTGTTTCTGGCAGTACGTTAAAGTATAGTCCCGGTTGCATCTTCAGTCACTAACACCAATTCGCACAGGGCCCGCGCGGTGGTCCATGGATAGTCGATTTTCCCTGTTTGATTTAATTCTATTCAAATTAAAAATTATAGCAGTGGGACAAGCTCCATATAAGGGCAGTCAGATAGTTAAGGCCCTGCTAGTACGTCTTAGCCGTGACTCCGTTGTGCTACGTTCCACATACACCACTTCGAAACCTGTTACCTATCAAACCTAATTTTTCCCTAAACTGGGTGGAAAAATGTTTTTTTTTCACTAGCTAAAAAATGCTAATCACTCTCATCTGACTCATTTCACCGTTTTTGTTTGACGTAAGGGAATGTTTTATGCACTGTCCCCGCCGCTTGACAGTCAACAGGAGATTTGTAGGACTCTAAATCGGCACGGACTCGCCCGAAGGCTATACAAAACGCGGATAGCATACCAACTTACCGCCTTCCGTGCACACTCTCTTTTGGGGGAAGGATCCAGTAAGAAGTGCCGTCGTCATTGAGTCAACTCAACTGACAAGCCATATCTTCATGTCTAATCTATATGAAATATATTAAAATATTTAAAAAAGTATCCAAAATTGTAGTGGCGATAATCCTAATTAGTATCCATTGCTGGTACTGGCACTTCCTTGAAATTCGTCTTAATTTCTACAATATGAAATTGAAATATATATGTATTGAAACGGACATATATTGAAGTCCGTACCTTACATATTTCAAAAACATTTTTAATATTCAGTAGAAAACTCAGTAATTTCGTAGCAAATGCTACGAGATAATCTATTACCTAACCGTAGCACGTGCCTAGCAGATAAAATATAATTAGAGCAAGTATATTTTTTCCAGAGGACACACTGGATCTGTGGATCTGTGACTTAGGAACGGTTTACTAGAATCAGTGATTAAAACACAGGGTTCGAAGAAAATCGGCTCATATTCTATCTGCCCTTTTATGCCAGACGAACTCATAAGTGCGACATTTAACAGAACGAGTGTTTACTTATTTTTATTTTTTTATTTCAGGCAAGGTCTTTGATTTACGTCTTTGTAGGTTTTATAGTGATGGTACTCACAGCTTTCCTTGGAGTATCATACCAGCACAGAAACTATTCACAGCTGGAGGGCACTCTATACGTGACGCTGAACAGGCCTGTTTGGGCAGTTGGTGTTGCAATAATTATACTAACTTGCTGCTTTGGTAAAGTTCGTGAGTAACGAATTTTATATTACAAATTTTTTCTTCTTCTAAATTTAAGGTCTGATTCCCGATTCCTAGTCCGCAGTAGACAACTCATGCACCTTTCAATAGTGATATAATCCAGTTGCATTAACTATTTTCCATGCACAGGGTATCTAGCATGGAAAATAGTTAATGCATTCGTCGTAAATTATAGCAAATGGTTAATTAATGCGGGCATGCACTTCACCGGGGATCTGGTTCAAAGTAAGCCACTTCGTCATACAGATTTTGTGAATAGACTGGTCTTTCTCTTCCTTGGCTAAGAGACGGTACATAGAACGAACCGTAGTTCAGTTATCGCTGATAAGTATTATCACTGTTCGATAGTTTGGTTGTCGAACGTCTGGATAGAGTTATCTGTACATACGTAAAGCGGCATTCGCATTCTCACCAAATAAAAAATAAACACGTAGCATAGCCACATAATCCCGAGATGAAAACTGATAACTAGTTAAACTAGTTATATAAAACGTTACAACTTTCATTATAACAGCTATAAACATAAACGCACAAATAACAAAGATTGCCCAGACGTGTACGTTTTTCTCTACCGAAGCACTGTCTAACGTCACTTAGCGCCTTGAATTTATAGGGAGCGTTTTCGGCAGACTAGCAGCAGTTCCACAAACAGCACCGTATTTCCGAAACTATTAATTGCAGACATGCACTTCTACATTGTTTTGCAGATATTAATGGACTATTTATTTATAAAATAAAAAATATATCATCTTGCCTATTACTTAACTGTATTAATTTGTATTACAGCATTGGTGAACAGTTTCTTAGAATGGTATCCATGGGTGCCACTCAGCCGTTTAGCTTACGGAATATATCTTGTCCACTACATAATCATCATGAGGAACGTTGGCATTTCCAGACAGTCTTTGTACTATGACAATTTTAATATTGTAAGTTTTCATTAAAACAAATATGATTCATTTTCTTTACTTTTTTGTCTGCGTTCAAATGATGTGGTGTAACGTATGTCATTGGTGACAGACAGGCGATGCAATTTCGTTCGAGTACACTACCTATTGTGTGACTGGTTCCAAGACGGAAGACGCAGACATTTTGTTAGTGGCCATTCCTATAGATTACAGATAACACACTAGACTGCCAGATGTTATGTTTCATTTCATTTTATATTAATTATACTAAGGGATGACAACCTCGTAATATAATATAGAGAGCAATGGTTGAAGGACTTTATACAATATACATATTTTAAAATTATAGCTACAACTGTGGCGATGTTTAGATTGTGTGTTGCGAGCTGTGAACTAGATATTTAACGACAGCTCTTCAATCTCAGCTTTAATCTTAACTGTTTACTCGCGATGATAGGAGATGCCTTATCTCCTGCCAATTGTGTGCTGTATAAACTTTTTTTTTGAGTGAGAGTGATGTAGAGTTGATGTCACGTGATTACACAATTGATTGAAATATATAGGCATAACCACGGCACGGCACATCTAATTACTAATTCGTGTAATATGGACGATTAGGAGGGATACGAATAATAAATTATTTTACTTTTTTTTTAGTTCCTGATGTCGTTGGGAACCATTTGGATTAGCACGTTTTTCGCTTTGATTCTGTGGCTCTTCTTTGAAGCACCAATAAACAATATCTTTGCATTGTTATTAATAAAAGGGTAAGTTTCTTTTTAACTCAACTTATTATTATTATTTTCAGTCGTAGATGACAAAATGTCGATGACAATGAAATCTTCTAGGTTAACATTTAAATTTTATATTGTTTTCTGAGATATTAATAAATATAATTAACGATACTACTTAGGATCAATAAAAAAACGAGAGAAAACGTCAATGAAGCATTTTTAACTAATACTCGTGATGGGGCGAAAGAAAGCAGCGGAATTGGTCATATTGAAGATAACTTGAACAATATAATCCACATCACTAAAATATAATTTATTGAATTCCAAGTATAAATAAAGAAATAAATGCGTATATATACATTATTAATATTGTTTAAAGAAGACTCATAATATGTAAGAGAATAGCAAGTGAATAATAGTAAATATAGTAGTTTTGTATTTATATATGAATAGGTAAGAAAACATGGAAATGTAATAGTGTAAATATGGGAAATAAAACAAATAAATATTGAACTGATTTCATCATGTGTTTTCTTTTTATAATTGGATAAGTAAATGTGTTTTGAATAAAAATTTTCCGTATTCATTATAAATTGTTCGTGTTACAGGATGCATTCAGAAAATAATTTAAATTAATTGAACTCTGACACATTATTTTCAACTGTACACAGTTTGCTAGGACAGATAATATTTTATGAATAAAATATTTTCAAATTTATATGTATATTGATTAATGTACTTTTTCGTACTTGTATTGATATCTCAGTTTCGAACTTTTCAAAATCCAGTTTTTTTATATGTTAGTTAATGAAACATAATTACTATAAGGAATTCATAATCACGCAGTTATTGTAGGTAATAGTGAAATACTTGAAAAATATAAACAAATCGCTATAAAAAATTCAATCCAATTTATAGTCACTAATTTTCCAGTGAACTCACAATAAAATCATTCTTATTACAAAAGAAAAGGTTAAAATATACAGGTTGTAAGTAAAAATGGTAATGATGATAATAATAACTAGGTACCGCATCACAAAAATACATACATACATATTTTATTTGTTACATACTACGGTGCAGTATGTAGAACTAGCTTACTTTTCTCTATGCTCAGCAGAAGCAGGTGATTCAGTGTAATATATGTATTTTGAAAATATATATGTTGTATACATATATATTTTCGTATTTATATAGTTACGCTCTCTTTACATGTTCCGATAATTGAGGTTGTCTGGAAGAGATCGCTTTTAACGATAAAATTATCTGTAAATTGTTGTTATGATGTGTGCAATAGTGTTTATCTATCTATCTATATATATTTTTTGAGCATTGAAATGCCATCTATCTGATATTGTGTACAGTCGGTATTGCCAATTGCTTTAGAGTTCAACTTTAATAGGTATACAAGAAAAGCCACCGCTCACGTAATGCCAGGGGTTTCAACAGATGGCTCTGTTGTTCGAATATCATGATGCAGAATTGCCAAATGATAGGGAATCGAATTTGCTTACTTTGTGTTTTTTTTTTAGTTACTTTACCATTTTTTTTTAACACGCATAATTTAAAAAGACCCTTACAACGAAAATGTTTTTTTTTTGTCTTAGTTCATTACCAAAACTTCATCTTGAGTCATTTAGATATATTTCCACAAAAATATCAAAATTTTGTAATCTCAGATTGGTTATTTGTTTCCTTTTCGTATTAAAATAGAAACTTATTTATTTTTGATTATTCTTTTGGTTCAGTCAAGGGTATCCAAAATTTTTAAAATTTTCGTATTTTATCTTGGGGGCGCTCCAGTTAATTTGTCATTCATGTAAGATGATTTTGACCTCCTTAAATTTAAAAAATTAGAATTGTGCAGTTTTAAAACCATTACACAAGAATCTTTGTATTGTGATTTTGTATTTATACTATCATTTTAAAATCTTTATGGTTTTTCACATCTTCAATCACATCTCGAATGACTTTAAAATTTAGAGATTTTCAAAAACATCTTAATTTTTATAATAAAATGACTGCTTTGCTGTTGATGTTGAAATATATTAGTATAGATGATTAGTAAGTAAATGGGTTATCTGGTCATTTCAGTCCACTATCATAAAATAGTTGAAATAATAAGTATAGGTATAAAAAGATAGAGTTATCTAGGTATATAGAGAAAAGCAATATACTGGCAATAAGCAAATCACCTGTAGGTATCATAATAGTAACAGTCAGTTGTTATATAGATAACCAACCTCGACATTGAATCATTCAAGTAACTACTAATGCTAAGCCAGTTTAAGAAAGGAACTAACTTGTGCAAGATCAAATTGGATTAAATATGTTACTACCTATAGTGTCACATAATCAGCGAAGACTCTACATTGTACCAGTGGTTTAAATACGTAGATGGGGTAAATCTGCCTCCAGCTCTAGTTAGACGCAAAGCTGTGTTTGGCAACATAACAGCAGCCAGCTCCGCGGAACATAATGACATAATTGGGGGGCGAAGGGGGCGCGGGGACGGACGCGCGGTGCGGGGCGCATGCGCGGGTTTGACGGCCAAGGTCGAGGCCGCGATTCTGCCGCGCGCCGCCGCGTCGGCTAGTCTCTCTGGCTCGCCCTCTTTCTAGAAACCATTTCTGAGGGGTAAATGCGCAGTATTCGTCGCGAGTGACCCACCATCCTGTCCAACATACCACAACATAAATAGGTAATTACCAATTTTCAAGTAAAATACCACTTCCACATCACACGTGCAGTCGATGTGTTGTATAATGTTTGTAATCCTAATCGCACACCTACATCTATGTATAGCGATAATGTTTTGCTGATAAATAGACTTAATAACAACAGAACAGGCGTTGCTCACAACATAAATTGCGGAATGTATTTTATAAGTTACTCTTATTCGTTTAATAAAATGATCTGTTGTTACTTGAAATTAGTTACCTTACCTTGCACACATCTTTGCTAGATGGATCACGTCATCGCGTTATTCGCTAATCGTCTGAACAAACAACTCAGTCGAAGTTTGTAGTAGGTTATTTATATTAGAAATATTAGAGCCTTATGATATAAAAAAAATTCAAGAACATACCATAACACCACTTTTCACAATCACACTTCATTCGTATTGAACGCATTTCTAATGTCAATATTTAATGCGTGTTTGCCAAGCGTTTGCGTCATAATACTTTGGTATTAGCAGAATCAGAATACACAGGCATTCAGTCTACGCCTTTCTATAATTTTCCTTTTACAATTTTTTAACATGAACAACACAAGTTTTCCTGTTTTTTCCTAATTAGTAGTTTATGCCGTTTTAACTAGGATGGCAATGATACCTTTTAAATTTATTTAAATAAACATGTAAATTTTTTACTCGTGCTTACTAGGGAGATTTTATGTTATTTGTCACATAACTGCTAGAGTATTATTTTCAGATTTCATACATCCTTTTAAATATGTAATTAACTTTTTTTGTGAAACAACTAGTGGCCGCCAGCGACTACGTCCGCGTTTTCCATTATTTCTTCGTTCCTAATAGTTGGAGCGTGATGTTATATAGCCTAAAGCCTTCCTCGATAAATGGTATATTACACACAAAAATATTTTTTTCGATTCGAACCAGTAGTTCCTGAGATTAGCGCGTTCAAACAAACAAACTCTTCAGCTTTATAATATTAGTATAGATAATTATCATGACATTTTTTTTGGAAATTATTCAATAATCTTACACGGAGAAAATGTGGAAGTAACTATACTATGAATACAGTCTACTCCAAAAAAGGTTGAGCATATATGCTACAAATTAATTTTAACCACTTATATAAATAAGTATGCAAGGAAACTTCCTCATAAACTTTCTTAGTAAGTTATTTTTCTATGTAAAAGTAATAACTTAGATAGTCAAATAGTTGCTGAATTATTCTATAATTTGCATTTATTTGTTTATGCGTGCTCTCACTCAACAATGATGTATTCTATTCTATTAATTTACGAAACTTCTACTTATTTTGATATGTTGCTTTGATTTATTTATTTTCACAGATTATTTTAATCTATAACTGATAGAAATTTTGAAAATACAGAATAATTATTATTGATTAGTTATTGTTTGTTAGTCGTTACTAATTTTGAATACAAAAGTAATTAAATAACATTTTGCATTATCCAACTCGTTCAGAAGACGGCAGGTCTTCCTCATCTATCACAAAAATACCGAATAACTTTGTTTTAAACTTTGAACCAATTTAATCCGTCTCATGATTAATTCTACGATAAAATCTTTTTATGAATATAATTTAATAATACATTGCCGAGTGGCTCGTACGTAGTTTTCAAGACGCCAACTCTGGGGACCCGGGTTCGATTCCCGGTCGATCAAATCATGAAATTGAACTTTTCTGTATTGACTCCAATCTGGGTCTTGTGGTAATTTGATTGTTCCAGAATTGCATAATACAATGTCTTTAGCTACGTAATTTGGTATATGAACAATGTACGTGATGCTGTCTGATATTTAGTGTTTATCAACTCCCGAAGACTAACATGCTATTCTTGTATTTATTTAAAAGTAACATGCTATTCTGTTACTTACCGACCTTCGCGAATATTGGGGGGTGGGATACAACCCACCACCGCTGGACCATCGGCATTAGGTTGTTCTAAATATAACAACGGAGACCACAAGGCAATATATTGTGCGGCATATCAAACCGAAGCTATAAATAGGTGACTTTTAATCTACCGTTATTATATATTGTATTTATTTTTACCGGTAAAATACCCTAATAGGATTTTTTTTCATTCATTAAAATTATATTACTTGGATCTATTTTATTAATAGGTAGACCAATTTTTTATAACAATACCTAAATATAAAGTCTCCCGATGTCCTTAATAAATTATTTTGCTAGGTATACACATAACATAGATACTAAATAAGTAAATAACGAGTTTACGAAATATTTTATCAATAAAGATACATTAATTATTATTTTTTTAAATTTTATATTCAATACATTTTCATTGAAGTTTATTCTTCTCTTCCTTAAGGTTACAATTATCATGACTTAAGATACAAACTGCGAGACTGTAGTTAGTTGTAATAAGTTTGTTTTTTACACTAGTATACTATTGTGATTATTATTTGATTACTCTACATAGCGCTAGAGATTGTTTAATAATATCTAGATTTTTAATTTTCATTATAAAATCTGAGTCTTTTTAAAGTTAGTACTTATAGGTAGTTCAAATAAATAAGGAAGACATAACATTATTATAAGTATAATTTAGAAAATTTATACTTAAGGAAATAAAATCGAAATAAAGTATTATCATAATAATATCCTATTATTTTTGAAATTAAATAAAAATTTTCTAACCCCACACCTTCTGAGTCTTTTTAAACTTAGTATAGGTAGATCAAATAAATAAGGAAGACATTACATTATTATAAGTACCTATAATTTAGAAAATTTATACTTAAGGAAATAAAATCGAAATAAAGTATTATCATAATAATATCCTATTATTTTTGAAATTAAATAAAAAATTTCTAACCCCACACCTTCTGAGTCTTTTTAAACTTAGTATAGGTAGATCAAATAAATAAGGAAGACATTACATTTATTATAAGTACCTATAATTTAGAAAATTTATACTTAAGGAAATAAAATCGAAATAAAGTATTATCATAATAATATCCTATTATTTTTTAAATTAAATCATTTTTTTAACCCCTCACCTTCTCCCTCGTAAAATATTTTTTTAAATTGGTCCAGCAGTTCCAGAACCCTATTTCTATCTATGTAGTAATAATACAACGTGCCAAAAACGGGTAGTCCCACCGGCGCACGCACACTAGTGAGTACTATTACATAAATCAGTTGGTCGCACGCAGCTGTGTGGCGGTAAGTGTGTCTCATCCCCCAATATATATAGGTCAGGGGAAGCTGCGCGGGTGGGCGAGCGCCATCTTTGTTGCGCCTATATCGACCGCGCCGGGCCAGGGGATGACGACAGTACCTAGACTTTGAAGGCCGTTAGCCCTGTCTTAAAAAAAATAAAACATATTTTTTCATAACTAAACAATTTCGATTTATATTAATTTATACCAAAAGTTTAAATTATTCCTGTTTAGTCAATATTTAAAAAAAAATACTTGAATGTTTCAAAGGTGTTTTTATTTCCAATTTTTATTTACTTTTTTTATAAATATAGCTTATATTTTTGTTTCACAAACTTCTCTCAATATAATTTGCAAATATTTTTACAAATTAGGTATTGACTATTAAAAGTAACTATAAAATTATCTGCATTAAAAAACACCAAACTCTAAGCGTATCACTTTGTTATTATAATTACGTAAAATTGACACATCTAATATTAACTACCAAACTTTAATTGTATGATGTTTTCAGTTTTATTATTAGCCTATTCACTTTCTTCATTCCGTAAGTTCTTTTATCTATGAGCCTTTAATTCATGCCATTGACGTCATGATTTATGTGATCCAAATCGTGTGTCTTACTGGAATTATTGTTTTGGTTTTATTTATTTATTCACAATGCACATTATTAGAGAGGAGTAGCTCGGTGGCGTAGTGGATAAGCGCCGCGGCCCGCGATCGTAGTCGTTAAGCAACTTTCGCAAGGGTCGGTCACGGGATGGGTGACCTAAAATTTATTATCTCGAGCTACTCCGTGCTTCGGAAGGCACTTTAAGCCGTTGGTCCCGGCTGCATTTGCAGTCGTTAATACCCTCCAATACGCATTGGGCCAGCGTGGAGGGTCATGGCCCATCCTCCTTAACCATCCATAAGGAAGGCCTGAGCCCCTGCAGTGGGGACGTAAAAGGGCTGGTGGTGGTGGTGGTGCACATTATTATTTGAAAATAGCATATATTATTATAATCAAAACAGAATCATGTTTTAAAAAAAGGAGTCTTTTGTATTATTATGGTTTATTTTTCAGTACCTACCTACTTTACGTTTTCCAACGTGTTAAGTCGCGCATAGTTTCTATAGTATAAAGCAAAACAGAGATCAGTTATTATTTATAATATTCATTTGTTATTTAAGTAATTTTGAATAAATACGCATCGCACATCATTGTTACTGTATATTGATAAAAAATTATCACATTTTTAATGCAAAATTATAATTAATAAGACACTATTAACCATTGTATATTAAAAAAAAAGTTTTAGTTATATTTAAGTATAAAGTATTTGAAGAGCATAGCTTGGTTAGGTTAGGTTGTCCATGGACTCTATCAGCGCCAGTGCCCCAATCAGACTTTATATTTGTACTATGAAATCCCATAAAAAGAAAACAATTTTAGTTTTCTAGAGTTTCGAACTTAATCTGTTATGAACATTATAAAAAGTTTGTTGTTTTTAGATATTTGATTATATTAGTAAATATATATTTAAATATAAATCAATTTATCATTTACATATAATTATTACATGAACATAACACTAATTTATACCTAATAATGTTACATGGTTATGTTCATATGGGCTCCTATCCATCACACATTGAATTTCATTTACCTACTCGTATAATAGAACCTGATTATTTTTACACATAGAGGCTTATGCATATTATACAAAACAGCATCCAAGCATAGTAAACATTACTATGCTTTAATTACATAACATAATAATGTTACATAAACATTTCAAAGAGAATAGCCTAAAAGATAAATATCTATGTCCACAAATACTGTTCGCTAAAAAAATATATATAAGAAAATAATATTGTGTGAAAAACAAATGATGGTAAAACAATTATGCCAAAGTATGTACCTCTATATTGAAAATATGCATATTACTAAAAGAAGTGATCCCGGTTCATATTTATGTATTCTTTAAAACCAAAATTTATTTATTTTGTTTATTTATTATCTTGGCATAATTACATACATATATTAACATTGTCCCACAAAACCTTGGACTCATGCGGTCCCACCACAATCCATAGACAGATGCATTATTTAATTCCGGATTAAGAACTATTTAAATATTACAGCGGTCATTGAAAATTTTATAATCATTTTTGGAAAGTATTAAATAATACCAATAGTTATTCATAATTATTGAAATCTTAAAAGTCCATTATCCAGTTTTAGTGTAAATATTGTGTTATGATGATAAATATTATTGAATTCCCAACATCAGTTTAATTACAATATGTAATTACATTCAGTTTGTTTGCGACAAGACAACTATTTATAATGGCATTTTTTGCGAAGAACCAGTTTTTTCTATGCTGTCGTGATGACTTTGTAACACATACCTAACTTCAAACATCTTTAATGTGATGAGATGGAATAAATTGGATACTGTGTATTTATATTTAACATAACTGTGTATTTATATTTAACATAAATTAATTAACGGTAATATTTATTTTAAAATACCCAAATGTATTCATATGCTAATTCATTTTCATATTAATCTATACATTATGTTTTTGTAATAATAAAACTAACTTATTAATCTAAGTATTTAGTTTATAAAGCTTCATCAAGTATGGGCATGTAAAGAGATGAAAATTTTAATTGGAACTCACCTAGATTTTCTGATGTCCAAATTATCTTTTGATAGCAATATATAAATCTCGGGAGCAATACTAAAAATAAGCTCTCCTAGAGAGTTCACGTGTAAAAAAATAAGAATTTCAATAGCGACATATCTAGTTTTTTTTTTCATTAAATATTTGGTAATATAAAAATATCCCTCTGCAAATGCCATTGACAATTCTGTGTTTACGTACACGAAGCGAGCGCCCCAGCTGAGCAGAGCGCGCGCCTATTGATTCATCAAGGGCAAGGCCACATTGGGCGCGGCTGTAATACGGGCGGGCGGAGAAATAACTTGACTACCTCTACTACCACCACCAGTTTAAGGCGCAGATGTACGATTTCGGTAAATATCATAAATATCATAGGCAAATTAGAACACTGGCACGATAAAATAATGATATTATAAAAACCTCAAATCGAAAAGGTGATAATTATTAATAATTGAAGCTTATACCAATTCACAATACATTAGTCTGTGTGTTCATGTCGGTTATTTTTTATCATTTCTATACTAACATTCTAAAGAAGAAATATTTGTTGTTTGCATTGACTGAATAGGCTCCTAAACTATGGGACTGATTTTAAAAATCATTTCACTTACGAGAAGTTTAATTGTGATCGGGTAACTATATGTTATAATTCACTCGGGGAACGTTGCGGGAAAACAGTTTTATATAATTTTACAATGGAGGAATGTTTGAACGCATCCTTTTGAAATTCAGCAGCTGTAGGTGATACTACTTTTAGAACCTTAATTTATTTATTTAAACCCTATTTAGCACAAAATAAAAACACAAGGCGAAGTGCTTTTTAAAAATTAAATCATAATAATTGGATTCGATCTTGCTGAAAACATAATGAATATTAATATTTATTTAAAAAATTGTGAGAAGATATTTACATGATAGAAAAATACTTTAAAAAAATAAATTAAATTAAAGTACGTGCGAGGTTATTTACATTAAGTAGTCGGCTATTTAAACGTTGTATATTTAGAGCTTAATTTGCAAGTTTTTTTATACTTAAATCTTACATAATATGAATATTGAACTGTTTAAACGATC